CAAACGATTAATGGGTAACGGTATTAAAAAGGATCAAAGCATTTCGGTTAGCATCCCGCCATCACAAAGTCAGGTATCGTGTTTTAAAATTGTCAAGAAAATTATCACTAAAAATAATGATGTCCTGCAAATCATTTTTATGAGCTGTTGATTTTTACATCGTTCAGTCTTATTAATTTAAAGCATAAAAATCCTTTCAGGTAGTGCGCGATGCTTCACGGCACGTTGTGTCGTATTCTTATAATCGTAATCATACAGTTCTTGTAGAATATAGCCCTGATCCTTATAAGGATATGTTTCAGGTAATTACAACCTAAATCATTTTTTGCTTCCCGTATTTGGGTAAGATATTAAACATTAAATATGTTTCTGATTTTTGTATTTTTTTTTCATCCTAAATTTCTCCCGAGTGTCTTCTCAAATTCTCGGAATTAAACAAAAATTAAGCTGAAATTAAGATCAGTTCTTTTTTCAAACCAAACTGAAGTTTACTGATCTTCATTTTTACAGACGTCGTTGTTTTAATAATAATTCATTTTGTATCGAGGATATCATAGCTTGTTCAAGGTAGAAAGGAGCGTAATGTCTTAATTCATAACAATTTTCTCCAAATGCTAATGGTAAGAGAAAGAAAAAAAACATTTGGCAATTCTAGAATTCTTCTTTCAGATTGGTCGCTCTTCCGAAGAGCAAATAGATTTTACTGTTGTGGATACATGGCTTGCTGCAAACGCCCTTTACCCAGGTTATTTTTTCAGCACTATTTGTTGCAAGCCGGATCATGAGTGATTGTCACAAGCAGTGCGCATTAATCTTTTCTGGCTGTTAATTACACAACTTTTTCATTATCGAGCTAACACAACGGGTTATGCAGGCATGACTTACTTGTAGTAGAAAACTTTTTGGTCTACGAAAAAAGTATGAATGAATAATTGCTAACCATTGAGGTGATGGTCTGAACTTGAATGATTTATTCGTCATCCATCCAATTATTTCCTATGAAAATTCATCAGTTAACATTGAAAACAGAGCTTCTGAAATATCATTAATTTCACAATAAACTTAAAGGGAAAGTGATTCAGGAGTTCACAACATACATGGATCGGACAATGGTGTTATTGATCATTTTGGAGTTGGAAAAAATCCACGATGCAATATCCAGCGACCAATATCTTCAACTATTAGTCGTTACGCCTGTCGGATACAAATTAACCGTGACTATCCTCATCGAGCTTTTTTATATGCTGCTGGATTTGACAGTTCCAGAAACATTTTTCTCGGAGTATGTTTTCTTCTCTAGTTTCAAAAATATAGCCCTTTTCCTTTTATTTCTGAAAACTGCTATATACCGTCATGTGGAAAATCATTTACTGAATTTTTTGCAAACTAATTTTCTTTATAAACTAATTGCATTAAAAATCTACGTTGAGCCTAATTTTACGTTCCCGGTGTTCCTGTTAATTTCTAAAAATAAGTTGCAGGAAAAGGCAACAAAGTGGACAAAATATGATGGCGAAATTGATGGTCTTACAACAAATGGTATTCTTATTTTGCAACCAAATATCATGCAAAGACAGGTACAATAACTTCTCGCCTTATTACAGTATTTTTATAACCATTGGATTAAAAATATACATTCTTGGTTATTTAATAAAGTTTCCATTACTATGGTTGGTGTTTTTTACTTTGTTTCGCATAAAGCTCAGTTGTTTTTGCTATCTGGTCCTTTACTGATTCAAGAGGTCATGTATAAAATTCGAGTGAAATAATATAACCAAAAAAGTGGATGCCATTGACAAACTGAATTAGAAAGGATAGGCTTGTGGTTTCGATCCCTCAATGCAAGTCCAAAAAGAGCTTGCAATTCTGCAATATTTTTGGTAAGCAGAATGCACTATGTCATTTGCTTTATCATATTGGCTTCTGTATTTATTTTCAACTCCAAAAGATCTATTCTCATTCTGATCCATCGAATGTCTACTGACAAAAGTACTTCATTTCTTATTTGAATATTTAGTGAAAGTTACGAGATGATGTTTAACCTCAGAAAAAAATCATTCAGGATCTCGGTCAAAACGCGGAAGATCATATGGGAATGTTTGTGTGGCGTGAAGTCTCTGTCGATGGTGATATCTACAATATAAGGGAAACGAGGTCTTCAACAAAACGGGGGGAGTTGTTGGCGGGTGAAACCAATGAATTACAGGTATATGAAATTGTAAAAATGCTGATTTCTCAAATTTATGAGTTAGATTTGACAAATTTCTGACATGTTCGAAATAAATAATGAAAGTGTTAAAAAAATTTCAGTTACTTGATTTCCAGGATGGGACATTGATTGATCTCTGCGGTGCTACACTTTTATGGAGGACGGCTGAAGGACTGACGAAGAGTCCGTGCCGAAGTGAGCTTGAGTCAAGGTAGATTTAATCATTTTTGGAAATCAAATTTAAAATGAATTTTGGCTAGTAGTTTTTGGGCATGTCGAGGCTTTTTTCTATTTTTTGAAAATTTCCAGGCTTAATGAAATTAATGCTGGAAAGCCACAATGTCCAGTAAATCTGAATACCCTTATTATCCCAAGGAAAAAGTCAGCAAAAAGTTATGGTTCTTCCAGACAACCATATGTATGCTATTTTTATAATGAAACTTTCTGCCCTTGCTTTATTATTTGTTGATGAAAAAATTTCCAATATTTACCAGTAAGCAGTTTCTAATTTATACTGATTAAGAATTCTAGATTGTAGAGCAGTTTATCTTAGACATTTTTTTTAGTTCAAAATACATTTCGTTTCGTAAATTATTTCAAAATGAATATTTTGCTTTATGTTTGAACAGTTATCAGTTTTAGGTCTATCTTAATTGCGGCCATGTACAAGGCAAGCATGCATGGGGCAAAAATGATAAAAGTGAGAGCGGGATTTTGTATAAATGCCCTATATGTTTGGTGGATTCTTCTAAAATAATTCAGCTAGTTATGGGAATGGAATCAGCATTCCATCTTGATTCGGATACACTGGACTATGCTTTCAATCCATGTGGACATGTTGCTTCACTATCCACTGTGAGGTGATTAGTTCAAATTTTTTTGAATTTTTGTCAAAATATATTATAAATCTTCGAGATTTCATTCATCATATATATCAAATATTTCTGTTGCTTTTATAAGTTAGATATTTCATTTATTTAATTCAGTAGTTGAACGAAAAATATGCATCTTGTCGAATTTCTTTGTAAGTTCAAATAATAATGGGAAGTTAAATCCCAGAATTAATTCGGTTTCTTATAGGTATTGGTCTCGCATTCCCTTGCCGCATGGCACTAGCAGTTTTCATCCAGTATGTCCATTTTGTACATCACTGTTATCAATGGATAAACCATATGTTAGACTTATTTTCCAGGATCATTGCTCTGATTCGTAATCCTTGAATACAGAAATAGCTTATAGTATTTAGGATCTCAGTTATTTCTCTGTAGTTCTTTTTTCCCTTTCCTTCGCCGATTATAGCCTCAGCAAGCGAGAATAACTTCCGAAGCTTTCAGATTTGTTGTAATTAATGACTTGTATTTTTTAACTCTAAGTGTTTGGGACGGATAAGCAGAACATTATCTGGTCACGAAAAGAGGTTCTTTTGCAACATTTTTAATTTAGTTTCTTACATGTAATATTTGCTAATGTGTTTTTAATATTAGATACAAGCAAGAACCTGAGAATGTTTTATTATCGTGTTATTATCACTATTTTTGTTGTTGTGTAACTGCGAATTTATTTAATCGAAAAATTAAATGTTTTATGAGAAATTCATCATGCTTTACCTAGTTGTGCATCAGGAAAGATTATTCGTTATACATATTTGCTGTGTTTTACTTTATTTCCTTTCTCCTTTAATCTGATCAGTGAAGTTTTTCTAAACTTTGAAGGCCTGAATGTCGCTATTTGAAATGAAATGCCGATTAGTGATTCATAAAATTTCATAGTCACTATCCAACCAATTTAATGTGGGTTGCTGAATAGATTGTTTTCCATTCAATGGTTAGCTGGTGGTAAGCTAACGAGAGTGATGCAAAAAGAATAGGTAAAACCAGTTTCACACTTTTTCCACTTCCATTTCTATCATTTTTATCTTTTCATTTCTTTCTTAATCAGTCAAGTGTAACTTGTATTTTCGGGCATTTGTCATGCTGTACAAATTATGTTTTTTTGACAAGGTTTAGATGTGGTGAATTTTTGTTTTGTTTGTAAATAATGACATCGAAACATGTGGTTAATTTTCAATTAAAGCCTTTTTCTAATTTTACTCGCTTGCTACAATTAAATTTTACATTTTGGATGTTATTCTTGACTTTGGACTTTAAGCATTTCATAAAAGCTTCATGATACCTTTTAATTGGATGAATTTCAACATGCTTACTAGAAATATAAGGAATAAACTCGACTCGACAAAGTTCTGAGTTCTCCTTAATTTTATAAAGAGCTTTTTGAAAGTGAAGATGGCGGGAGAAACCATTGGATGAGAAATGAGAAAGGATTTGAAATAAAAGAAGCAAATAAAGCGGGAATAGAAAAGATCTGCACAGTAGTCTTCGTTTGGAAGTAAGAACGAGGAGTTGCAGAACCATATTCTTTGTTACGTTTGGGACGTACCACGATTATACGATTATGGTTACCAACGACTTAAAGTTTCGTGTTGCTGTTACTGTTGTTACTACGACGGACAAAAAAAAAAAAAAAAAACTTGTAATACTTTTGTTACCTGTGGTTAGAAAGTTTCTTAGGATTAATATCTTTTAGCTCAATAAAGGAGACCTTCGTTCTTCTGGTGATTCGTAAATTCCTTTTTAGTTAGCTTTAAACAAAACGGACAAAAACGGGATGTATTACATCTCCGAACTGTACTGAGTTGTGTCTTTATGCTCTAATTGATACTGGTTGTGCTGTTGATGATATAGATTTTTTTTTGATTATACTTTTAGAATTCTTTCAGATGAAGGACTGAGCAATGGAAATAACGAAATCGTTGCAAAAATTATTGTTGAGTACGCAGGGTGTGCAGCATATCTTCATCACTGATAAGGAAGGTATACCGATTATTGGTGTAAACGAGTTAGGCGGTATGATTTTTACTTTTTCCTTTATTTAATCCTTAATTTAATGTCTCTAACATTGTTAAAGTTAAATTAAATTTTTTGCAATATTTCCTACGGTATGATTTTTCTCATCTTTTTTACACTCTAAACCGATTTTTTTTTCTCTGATGGCATCTTCCAGTCCCGCTATTTGCAATAAATGCATCAAATTTCTATATTCTCCATTGAATTTATCCTTTTCTTAGGTGCTATTGTCACCCTTTTAGAATAAGAAAATATTCTGGTATGATTTTCACCTACTTTAATTGCAAAGGAAAATCTAATTTTTAATGATTTTTTAAATTTATTTATAGAAGAAGATCTACGAAATCGAATGCAACTTATCAACAGTAATCAGATAACGATGGAACAGATACCAAAGTTGAATCTTGGCGAACAAAAATCAGCAATTTTCTGGTATACATTTTATTTTATTTTTTCTGTTAAACTTCGTAGGATAAGACATTAGAATTTTTTAAACTGAATAAATTTTTTTAAATTAAGAAATCGGCAAAATTTTTCTTCTGAAAAATCATAATAAAAAAGGCATATTTTATCACATTTTGTTAAACTTCTTCATAGTGGTCCATTTGCCTTTACAAATTCGGCTCATTAATTTTTTAAGGATTAATTTTTTTAAGGGACTTTAAAGATTCAGAAAAATTTTGATTTACTTTTGCTGAAATTTGTGACTTATCTCCATTTATCAAAATATTACCGTTTCAATAAGATATTATCTTATGTTTATAGTTATGAATCGACAACTCTAGTAATGCTTCAAATCAGCTCATTCTTTGTAATCATTATTGCAAGTTCTGAAGCTTCTCTTGGTACACTACGAAATCTTAGGCATGCGCTGAAATCTATTATCAAGGAAATTGCAAGTGCAGCTGGTTTACACTGATTCTGATTCCAGTATATTTACTTTTTATTAGAATGTACTTATAGTATTCCTTATAGTTTGTTGTAAATTCAAAATGAATTGCAATGCACAGTTTGTTGAGACATTAAAGTCTGTCGGTGTTTTGCCTGACAGTTATTCGTTTTTCCGACAATTAAAATTTAGCACAATTATTGACTGCATACTTACTGCTACAATGTGGAACTTTCTCTAAGTGACAGATCTACAAGATTAAATTTTCGTAATTAATGCAATTTCTTTAGTACTGTGTACTATTTCCAGCCAGCTATGCAAATTCTTAGAGATACAATTTTTTAACAGTTTTGTAAGAAGTTGCTGATTTTCATAAATTTTCATTGTAATGATTATGTTCTTATCTGATTAAAGAAATCAAAGTTTTCACAAATTTTATAAAGATCTCAAGGAGTAGTTGACTAGGTTTGTTTTTTGATTACTCTTATTTTGATTTCACCTCTAAATTTCTGAATTTTATTCAAAAGCTGCTAACACCAAGTTCATTTAAGATCGAATGGGTGTTTGAATACAAGACATATCAATATGAATAAAATTCTAATGAAGGACACTTCTATTTATGTATTAAATCGTGTCTTTTTTTCTTGCAATACTAAAAGAATAAAAAGTCCTCAGCACTGTATTATTTCGCTTTCCAGAAAATTTTTTGTCAAAGAAACCTCATTTTAGTTTTTCGGTAAGGCATGTTTTGCCTGTAACAATTTACTATTTTGAACATTGGTTAACTTACTTTTATTTGTGCTACACAAAACTGACGAATAAACATCGAATGATAAGGCGACATTATACTTTACTGAAAATTTGCCAATACCTCTTTATCTTAAACTTCTTATGCATTAACACATTTTTCCATTATCTGCAAATAATATATTTTTGTGTCATCCTTATCAATCAAAAATGTTTCACTCTATAAATCAAATTTCCAAGTCCTGTCAGTGATTTCAGTGGATTATGAATTTGAGGCTGGAAATGATTGGTTTCACCCGCCAACAACTCCCCCCGTTTTGTTGAAGACCTCGTTTCCCTTATATTGTAGATATCACCATCGACAGAGACTTCACGCCACACAAACATTCCCATATGATCTTCCGCGTTTTGACCGAGATCCTGAATGATTTTTTTCTGAGGTTAAACATCATCTCGTAACTTTCACTAAATATTCAAATAAGAAATGAAGTACTTTTGTCAGTAGACATTCGATGGATCAGAATGAGAATAGATCTTTTGGAGTTGAAAATAAATACAGAAGCCAATATGATAAAGCAAATGACATAGTGCATTCTGCTTACCAAAAATATTGCAGAATTGCAAGCTCTTTTTGGACTTGCATTGAGGGATCGAAACCACAAGCCTATCCTTTCTAATTCAGTTTGTCAATGGCATCCACTTTTTTGGTTATATTATTTCACTCGAATTTTATACATGACCTCTTGAATCAGTAAAGGACCAGATAGCAAAAACAACTGAGCTTTATGCGAAACAAAGTAAAAAACACCAACCATAGTAATGGAAACTTTATTAAATAACCAAGAATGTATATTTCTTTTAATCCAATCAATTAATTAAATAGTTATACTTCTTAAAATTACTACAGCTAAAAAAAACTGCAATTTGCTGCAATTCTTTGTTACCAAGAATAACAGGAATGTAATTAAGTTGAACATGATATCTGGTGTAATTCGTTTAAAAAGAAAAGTGAAATTTCAAAAATGGGATTGTTTCTTGAGACTGCCGTGACGAGAGATGATTATTTTTATTTCTAACAAATAAAATTCAGGAATTTAAAATGCAGGGTAAAATAACATGGTTAGCTTTATTCAAATTATAGCAGCATTTGATATTGACATTTTAATTAATTCTAAATTAAATTAAGTGCGGGAACTTCATGATTGGGAACGTACAACACTTTCCCAAACTGAGTACAATCACACCGAGCAATTTGTTGACTGTGACGAATGCGTCTCTTTCGTCCGGTAATCTTTCAGATTCATATTATCAAATCCTTCTACGATAATATCATTCTTCTATATGCACAGATATATAGCACATTATTGAACTTCAAGTATTTCATCCCAGTTAGAAATAATTTTATCCGGCAAACCGGAATATGCCCAGCAAATAAGAATTTTTTGCGGACATTTTTATATGAACTCAATGGAACAAACACTCGAATGGGACATGAATGTTGCATTTCTCTTGGCTTGTCATCAATTTGTGTTCCAGGAATTGGAGTGAGGGGGCGAAGTGGTACTTAGGAGAGTTTCGGATTACTGATTCATCTAAGGATAATTTGGCTCACTTACTTTGGATGTTACAGGTGGTTGATTCAGACGATGACTATCTCATCCCAACAAAACTTCAGCGAGAGTGACGATTTCTCCAAATTAGTAAGTCGGTCCTCTGTGTGGGCGTATTCATCTGCATATATGTCTGAAATTTTAGTGATCCAATAATTTCAGATACAACTTTTAATATTATTCCAGAATTTGATTCTGGTAAGAAAATAGGCACCAGAACACTTCTCGTTTATTTTATCTGTTGATTCCTTTCGATATTCCTTATGTTTTATATTTACTTTTTATAAAACAAACCCAGTGCGGATTTCAGTTGAAGTTATTTAGATGGCAAGTGATAGTGGATTTCGTTTGGGACATCTAAGACTTTACAAAGCAGAATTGCTAGGATCAGTTGACAATATTGAAAAGTTGCAGCAATTTCGCCAATTTTTCGGTATGATAAGATTCGAAATGCTGTGATTCAGTAAAATTACGAATGTATCATATTTTCTACTCTTCTTCATGTTTTTCTAATGAAAAGAGAATTTTGAATTAATTGTTACTATTTCAAAATTTTCGTGTCACAACTATTCTTCTCTTGACTCACTGTTAAGTATTAAATAAGCTATCGACCTGAGCCCTTAATCTTTTTTAGAACATTATTTTAGTATGATGGATTACTTAAGAAATCCTTATCTATAAAGTTTAATTATCTTTCAGGTGACTCAAGAAGTTTTACTCGACTTTCGGAACTATTCAAGGATGATTCCAATAAAAATGTAGCACTAAATTATTTCTGGCATCAGATATGTTTTAATCGTGAAGCCATGGATCGTATACTCTCTATGGCCACTGAAGGTATTAATGCTAAGGCATACCAGGACTCTCCCAGGCTTCCAATACTTCGAACTCGTTGTTTTTAGCGCTATATGCATAAAATTACCAAATTTTGCAAAAAAATTGCCTTTCCTGTGAAACTTATGGTCAGATATCTTTTTCATCTGCGGTTACTGGTCGAATATCTTTTGTTTTCGTGAAAAATAGCTATAAGAAATGAAAATCTTGGCAGGATTAAACGAGCCGAAGTAAAAGAGTTTTTTTTTTAAAAAAAAAAATTAAATCACTTCAAATTAGATCAGGTTTTTTTTTTTTTTCTTTTCATTTTGAGATATATGGACCTGTTGATTAGTGTCTCATTATCCTTTCTTTTATAGGAAACAAAGCTCTGCTTGATTCGATTCATGAAAGTATGTCAGCGAAATCACTGAAGTACTACCATAAAATGTTTTATGAAGATGCGAAAAAAATGGATAAAATCATAATGACAATTGAACCGTTGCCTCTCTGTGCAGGGTTAAAAGATGCAAGTTATGGATCTATTAAGAATGTTGTGCAAGAAATGATGAGAAGCAAAAGTGTGAAATTCATGCTTCTATTTCATGTTAAAATTACTAATCGAAAAATTTCTTCTCATCTTTCTTTTCATCGCTGCTTTTCATATAAGTTCAATTTTTCACTGAAAAAAACGAGGTTCATTATTTTAAATGCATTTTTTTTTTCATTTTCAGAATATGAAGAAGCAGCATGCTATCTGATGAGGAACCTACCTAAAGTAAAAAGTTTGGAGAATGAATCATCTGACTGGTATTTCGATTTTTTAAATGCTTGTCTTATTGATAGTGCTAATCGTTCAATACCTGAATTTATCGATCCTGATTACAAGATCCAATTGGGTAAGCTAGAAATAGGCTTATATATTTATAGGCAAATGATGAAATTGATGAAATAGTAGTCATTCTAAAAAGTTGTTTCTAATCCCTGTGTGAACATTGATCTTTATTGGATTAAATTTAGTATTTGTCTTAAGCAAACACATTTTAGATACCTACAATGCACAACGGCGAATCCTAAAGATATCTCAAAATAAATCGGGACTACAAAACGAGTTACCAAACACTGTAGATGAACTAGAAAAATCAGAGAAACTGGAAAGTCGCACTCAGGAGCATTACAAGAAATATCGGATGAAAGCATTCAGTGTGCCATTTACAATTTTCTCACTGGGTGGAACTGTATTTAAATTTAACATAAAAACTGTTTCTTTCCGCTGGTACCTTAACTTGGCTGTGACTGTATAATGAAATAAGAAGAATGGTTCTGTTTCAGGTGATGAAAAACTGGAACGCTTGGATGATGCGGAATCGATTGAATTACGACCATATCAGCAGGAGCTGGTCGAAACAGCATGTAGAGGAATGAACACGATCATCTGTGCTCCCACTGGTTCGGGAAAAACTGTTGTAGCTGCACACATTATTTTGGAACATTTTCGAGCTATGAAAGCTGCAGATAAACCATCCAGAGTTTGTTTTGTTTTTCTTGCTATTTTAGGGGAATTCTGCTCAGTTCTCATTTCTACCAGCAGATGTTATATTTTTATCAAATTAAACCAACTCTATCAAAACAGTATACATTTTTAGAACCTTTAGAAAGACTTGCATTTACTAATCTTGTGACGAACTAAAAATACAACAAATTAAGAAATAAGAGTAAAAAATGGTATTGATAACATCAAATTACCTGCAGTGTTTTTAATGTATATGTATCGCATGTTAGCTAGGTTCGTACCAAATAAACCAGTAACAGATTAGAAGCTGATGTGCAATATCACGATTCTGAGATGAATCTAATGCATATCCTTTTCACAATTATTCTTGCTTGGTATCTTAGTTAAAATTGCTAAATCAATGTTTTCTTTTTATGCAATAATGGTTTTATATTACTATATACTGACATATTTATCAGTAAAACTGACGTGACCTAAAATTTTATAATTTCACTGTTTTAGGTAGCAATGCTTGTGCCAACAATTCCACTTGTAGAGCAACAATGTATAATGTTGAATCGTTATCTGCGCAAAACATTCTGGGTCGACGGTATGAGTGGGAGTGAACCAGTCGATGAAAATGGACGTGCTCCAAATGTTTTAGCAAGTCATGTAACTGTTTTCACACCACAAATTTTCATGTAAATATTGTCACTTTTTATTCTCTATTATTTACGTTTGTGATTAGACTTAATTGACCTGAAAGCAAATTACCTTCTAAATAAAGAAATTGTTGATGGAGCGGGAATTTTAATGTTTTTTTTTGCTTTTTTCTAATTATTTTTTTTTTAGAAATTTGCTGAGAAATATACGTCGAGATGATCGTTTGTACTTCACCGATTTCTCGATGTTCATATTTGATGAATGCCATCATTGCGATGGAGACCATCCTTATCACGGCAATTTTTACTATTTCATATTTTTTCAAAACTTGATATATGACCGAACTCAAATTAAATGAATAATTATGTTTTGTAAAGAAAGTTTTGCAGTGATGTATTAATAACAAGCATCACATTTTGTCAGACTGATATTACTGTACTGAAGATAAGTTAGGAATTTATATGAAAAATGCATTTGTATGAGAAATGAAACAAGCAAAATTTTCTTTTGAGATTTTTGATGTGATTTTTCTTTTAAAATCTTGATGTGATTGTGAAATAAGTAAAATTGAAAGTTATGGTCCTTTTTTTTCCAGTTCTGATGCGGATGTTGCACAGATTTGATGGTCCAAAGCCGCAAATTGTTGGTTTAACTGCTTCTCTACCACTTGGTGCCGGACGTGCAAGTGTTGATGCAGCACTCGATGTTTGTTTTTTCAGTTGGACAAAAATTTTTTCATTGCAGTGATTGTATTTTAGAAGTAACATAATTTCTATCTTTATTTTTTTTACATTTTTTTAAATTTTGATTTTATTGTTGAGAACTTCATAGCTTCATATAAATTCAGCATATGATGGATTTATGTGCTAAACTTTCTGCTCATTCCATCAGTACAGTTCGAAAACACGTGGAAAATCTTCGTTATTATGTAAAACCGCCTGTCGATGGTTTGTTAATTTGATACTTGTTGATATACTAAAATTTAGCTAAATTTGATTCACTATGAAATATTTATTGGGAATATATAAAACTAAGGTAAAAGCGCTTATCTTAGTTTCTTTCTGTTTTTTTTTTTTTTTTTTTTGAGATAAAACGAGCTCATCGGCCTGAATACGACAGTTTCTCCCAGTCACTGGAAATCTGCATGAGAAAAATTGAGTTGGCCATAAAGCCAGAACTTGGAAGAATAGCTGAAAATAAAATTCTTAATTTTAAAGTGGTTCGTTACAATTCTGATTTTGACTTTCTTTTTTGTTTTCCATATTTCTAAACGCTTTTTGGTGCTATGATTATCAAAAAATAAAAATTTTATCGCACAGTCTATCGTAAGAATTATAAGTTCGACCCGTTTTCTTAAGCTCATCCAACAAATTTGTAAGGATCGTTAAAAATACTTTCCACTTTTGCATGCTTTCAACTATCCATAAAGAACTATTTTATAAATGAGTGGAGGAATAATACCGCTCACATTTTTTAGGAATAAATATTTTAGGGCTGCTTAGATCATATTTTTAATTTAGATGCATGCCATATTAGTTTTATATCATTTAGTTTTTAGGAGGAAACTGTATTTCCTGCTCACCGGAACTCAACGCGTTATGAAAGTTTTGTTGGAGGTTTGAAAAATCGCTTAATCGAGTTACCTGATGATAAATTGAAACATCAGCTGATCAAAATGCTTGAACATCTTGGAGTGGGCACTTTTTATTCACCGAACACTTAAGTTAAACGTTTTTAGGATGTGTGTTGCTGCAACAGAATGTTTCTGCAACATTTTTTCTAAAAATAAGTTTACGCTTATCCATTTTGTAATTTAAGACCTTTTCCAGTCTTATCATTCAACGATGATATTTGTTTTTCAGTATTATTATCGTGCTCTCTGCTTGAGTGATTTACTGCCGAATTGGTATGCCTACAGTTATTTGTGTGAAAACATGACAAAAGAAATTGTTCAGGATGCGGGTGATAGGACAACGATTCAAAATCAGTTGGCGAAGCTTTTCGAAAGTATGTAACTTGTTAGTAAAATGATTTTACCAAAGCAATGGTTTAATTGCTTATATTGCTTTCTCATTCCTTTTATATCTTTTTTTCTGATCTCATTTTTTAAGTTGTGTCATTTCTATACCTTTATGCTGTTTTTTTCTCAGATCAGAATCTCATTCAAAACTTTTCATAATTTCTTTTTATAAATGAAACGGAAAAAAGTGATGAGGTCAAAAATAATATGCACCTTTTTTGCATTTTCTGTACCAGACTTTTCCATATTCTCTCTTTTTAGAATTCGTGAAATCGGATGAACTGAATTTTAAAGAAAATGATTCGGGTGAAGAAAAAGAAATCTTGAAAATGTTGCACACGATTTTGCTTGAACAGTACGTTTCGGATCCAGCATCCAGAACCATAATCTTTGTGACGACACGTAAACTGGCCCAATATTTATCACACCATTTGAACGCAGTTAAAATTGTCGATAGAACAAGTCGTGCAGTCGGATTCATTACCAGTAATATTTTTTTCTTTTTACAAAAGAATTTAAGTTTTCCGGAAATGTTTGTTCTTGCTTTGCAAAACAATTAGGGATGATGTACTTGTCTTCTCTAGTAACATATATATTATTTCTGTATTGTTTTTTAGTTTTTTTGCTATATATATATATATATATATATATATATGTTTTTGTTTTAAGTGAAATTACTTCTGATTAAATAAATTTTTGTTTAGAATAAATGAAGGGCGATTAATAAGGTAATATTAAAAGAAATGATTATCATCATGAGATAATGTTGAGTGATTATATGTAACAGTTGAATAGATGAAAATGCTAATAAATTATTGAGGGTCATGTAGGTTTTACATATATTTATGTATATTTAGGTTCAAACAGGTCTTCTGCCTTGAATGGTCAAACGACTGAAGAACAGCGGACGGTGATTGAAAATTTCAACCAAGGTACTTTAAAGGTTTTAGTGGCCACATCAGTTGCTGAAGAAGGTCTGGATATTTCTGCATGTAATCTAATCATCAAATATAACAACACAGGTTCCGAGAGATCACTGATTCAAAGAAGGGGTTAGTTCAGTCTGCTGTTTTTGAAGTTTTTTCTTTTTTTTTTTTCTAATGTAATCTTAATTTCAAGAACTAATAGTCCATATGTATTTGCTAAGAATGAATAATTCATTCTGTGGTTATTCCATTTTATCGGGATTTTTGTGATTCACGCAAGATACTCGAATATTACAGGTCGAGCTCGAGCGAAGCATAGTAAATCAATATTGCTGGCATTAGATGGTTCTATAGAAGAGAAAGAATTAGAGAATATTCAGAAAGAACATTTAATGAGGCGATGCTTGGAACATATACAAACAAAGTCAGAAAACCAGATGAAACATTTGGTAGATTTCTAGTCGTCATAACAATTCACTGCTTCACTAATTGTAGCATTTCCCTATTTATTGTTGGAGAAATCTCTTTATGATTTAATTTTAATAAGAAAGTTGTTGGTTAGTGTTCGTAAGTTTATGAATTGAGAAAATGAATTTCCTAGGGATTTTTGGAAAGAAACGGTACTTTTAGAAAGAATCAAGCAAATTTCGTATCCTAACTTCAAGAAATTAAAAATTCCCCTTTAATGCAGGAAATATGTCATTTTCAGCAGTCAATGTTCAGATCACATCAATTTCAGGTAGAAGCGAAAATTAAACAAATGAAAGCTCTTCAGGAAGCGAATTTGGTACGAGAGAGTGAAAAGAAGCGTTCATTGGAAGGGAAATGGTTATTTTTTTTTCTGATAACATATTTTCTCGCAAAATTCTTGAAAAATTTCATAATCGAGGTTGATATCCAAATTATACGGACTATCGGAACTTAAGCCCTTGTCTTTAATTTGATGTCAAAAATTTTTTTTTTTTTTCTCGGAGTAGTGTTTGCATTGCAGTTATGATTTGAAGTGTCGTCTCTGTGGCTCATTTATATGTAAAAGTAGTAGTATGCGAATTGCGTGCGATAACCATTATGTTTGCTGCGACCCAACAATTTGGGAGCGGATTGATGCTAGAGTTCACAATGCAAAGGTGAAATTACTTAGCAGATGTTCATACCTTTATGAAAAGACGACATCATTTTATTTATTTTTTGACATCTTAATTAGAAATTCGTAACGTTGTTGAGATTAAATGCTTTTCTGCGGTCTTTTTTGAGAACGCATTTCCTCCATTCCTATCTATTTTGCTTTATTTATCCCATTACATCCAGCTCTCTGGAACTTACCTGATTGCTTATTATTTAGTTTCCTTCGTCATTCTATTTTTTAACTCGGTTTTATTCATATGTACACGTGAGATCTTAGGGTAAAATAGTAGAAATTTTTTCGTGAAAGCTATTCTCATGGAAACACTTCACACGTAAGATTCCTTTTTGTCGTTGGGATTCATCAGTTAGCTTTTTGTCGTTGGGATTCATCAGTTAATCAGTACTTTTCAGCTATTCCACACACTATATTTCTTCACTATTTAACTTTCATGTCCACAACAATTCTTCAAGTAACCGGCTTGTTCCAATGCAAGAAAATTTGAAGTTAATATTTCTGGTTTTATGATAGTCATTGGCAATTGCAACGCTGGTTGGTAAACTTCATTGTAAAGGAACCGATGAATCAGACTGCAGTGAAGTGCTGGGTACAATTGTCAAGTTATACGGCGCCTTCCTGCCAACGATAGCAGCAAAAGCGATAATGATTGATGATAAGGAAGGATTATCTGGTCGACCACAATATGAGAAAAAATGGGATTCTATAACAACAGATAAATTTTGTGTTGAACCAATCACTGAGTTTGATCTAGTAAGCAATTCATTTTTTAGTGAATAATTTTAGTCGATTTGTATACAAAAGGCTTTCTCATTAATCTGGCGACGCATAACTTAAAGGATTAGTTATGATTCTGGTCCAAAGTCATGACTAATGACCACGACTCAGCTCGATAAAGCAGATGTCCTTAACAGTGATATGAAATACCAGCAGGACTTCATTCAAAATATTTTTCTATTTCTAGAAAGTGATGTTGAACTCGCTGCACAGCTACTCACGAGAACAACATCTTCAATTTGAAGCTGAAGCAGGACTTGCTGTCAAGCGTGCTCTCACCGAAATGAAAAAAGAAAAGCGACAGTTCGTAATCGAGGAATAAATCCCCCAATACACTTCTGTGTCTGTTCCCTCCAACTTTTTACTTTATTCGGCTTTCAACCGCACTTTTATCAGTTCGAAACCACCACTGTAAATTTACAAAGGAACCTACCACACCCCTTGCCTGCCTTCTTCCTCAAAGTCTTCGTGCTTTATTATGATAGATCTCTTGAAAATCATCTCATTCACTTTACTGTTCATCTTAATGCTAAACATGATAGAATTTACTTAACTACAAATTAAATAAAATTTTTTGGGAAATGTACTTTCACCAAAAAAAAAATTTGTTCAAAACTGTTCGCTAAAGTTAAATTAAACAGTACCTAAACAGCTTACAAATTACATTTTAATGGAAGTACTGCTGTAGTATTTAACTGCAGTGTAAAGCAGTAAGACGGTAATAGTTTTATCGTTTTATAGTGAGAAAAATGAAACAATAAGTCAAAGCTGTTCAACAAATTTATTTGCTACTTTTGCTATATCTCGCCGATTCTGATTCACGACGAGATGCTGATGAGCGACGGCGAGCAATTTTAGCTGCTTGTTTTTCCTAAAAAAGTTTCAGATAGATTCCTGGGAACGCTGATTCTTTATTTCCACGTAGATTACCTCTTTCCAAACAAAAGATACGATAGAAAAATTTCATGGCCTACAATTGCCAGCAACAAATTGTCGACATGCGCAGTCCAACACATCAAAACTCCAAAAAACGAAAAACAAAACAGCATAACAGACCTTTGAATACTGCGTCATCATCTTATGATACTGAGCTTCTTCTTCACGGCGTTTAACACTTCGCTTAATTTTCATCGCCAGACGTCTTCGCTTGCGTTGCAACACAACTGGTGTTATTAGTCGTTGGATCTTTGGTGCTTTACTGCGTGGTTTCTTACCTAAAAGAAAAGGATACTACGATTTATTTCGAGTCTTATATTAAAGGTTTGCGTGTCAGATTGCTATCGCATTAAGAAAGCTTCAGAAAATGTTGACAATAGTATAATTACTACAAACTATAGAAATAAATTTACCTTCTTTTTCGGGTAGTTTCCGACGAATAACATACTTCCTAACATCATCATTTTTCGTTAGATTGAACAATTTACGGATTTTGGATGCACGTTTGGGTCCTAAACGGCGAGGAACTGTGGTGTCTGTTAGACCAGGAATTTCCTGTTCACCTGAGATAGAGCAAATGCGATGATTCAATTTCAAAAGCAAATCCTTGAAAATCTTTTTAGTTCTTCGTAGTAAATGCAACAACTCAGCAGCAATCGAATTTCTTACCTTTTTTTACAATGATTAATGCAAGAGCAGATAAATTAGCGTCAACAATACATCCACGTACTGATTTACGCTTACGTTCCCCATCCCGACGAGCTCGGTAGCAAGAATGCCCTTTCGACAGTAATAAACGCACGCGTCCATTTGTCAAAACGCCTTGCTTCATTGGAAAACCTTGCTTGTCATTACCACCAGTTATACGCAAAACATAACCCTAAAAAATATGCTCTCACTTATTTACCTTTACCAACAGCAATGACCTGAACATAAAATGTAATCTTCGTCATGAATATATGCAAACATGAAAAGTAAAAAATCTGAAAGAAGTGTAAGCAGTCTGATAAATTATACAATTCCAATAATCGTTTTCAGAATTGTACAAATAATAAGTTCAATAGTATGTCTTACTAAAATGCTGAACAAATACTATTTCGAACTTAAAGAAATACATAAGAATGTCTGTTTTAAGGAGCAAGGAAAAAAATTCAAATAGTGGATCACAAGATAACCACTCATATTACCTTCCATTCATCACCCAAAGCATCGGCCTCCACTTCCTGCGCCATCCTTTTTTCATAGAAAATTCGCAACTTTTTCTCATCATCAATCTCAAAGACTTTCTGACAGCCAGTAGTTGGATATGCTATATTCAATTTCATCCTTCCTTTCTTCTAGTCGTACTCGCCTGAAAGCACATGTTAGTACTGAATTGCATCTACAAATACAAAATAACATGTTTTCATTTCCTACTGGTATTCTTAAATTACTCAGCTATAGATGGAAGACAACCGTCTTCATGCTATGTCTTGAATATTTCGAAGCACTGCAAAAAAACGATAGGCAAATATCCTTTCAAGAGTTGCAAACAAACCTAAAAAAGGGACCAACGCGGCGATTAAATACTCTCTTACCATAGCAAATCACAACATTCGTGCTTATCTTCCATTTCACGGTCGGACGGGGAAGGAGATAATAAATGTAACGAAAGATCAAACATTCTTTTCGATTTTATTCTCTTTTACTGAGAATCTACTAAGGTTGAGAGGGACACAAATCGAAGTTTGAGCACTTAAAAAGCCTCTGATAGGAGTCCTTCAGTAAAAGATGCTCCTCTGCCAGACCTAATCTATCCCAGTCTGAGACAATAACGAAAGCCTAAGACACAAAGAAAAGAGAAAACAGTTCGCGACTCTCACCATTACTCCCACCTATTTGTCACCTCATATCAAACCTACGACACATAACACACACACAAGTACAAGCTAACTCCTAAAACAGTCCGTCCAAGTCATCGTAACATACACAGATTTAAGAAGTGACTAATTTCGGGAGCAAAAGAAAAAGACATTCATAAGATAGTACTGATATGATGCGAAGCGAAGGCAAAGACACTATGCATTTAGGGATACACCGACTAAGTGAATCTAAGAATTCTGCTTAGAGAGCACGCATAAAGCCGGGAAAGGAAAAGAAGCAGATAAAACAAAAAGGAAACGATTACTTTAGATTATGGTCATTGTTGCCCAGAGTGACAGCATGAAAATGCTTTCTCACAGGATGGAATGAATGACTATAAGTGATAGCTCATAGTTCTCATCAATAATTTACTGTGATATGAAATTGTTACTGTTAAGTGTTGTTATGTGAGTGAGAGAAGTGATATTTATGAAGAAGTGTCTTCATATATTTCATGCAAGGAAATTTTGGGATGACAGATGAACAAAGAAATTTGCAAAAATTTTGACAAACAAATTTGAATATAAAGCAGGTTTCAATAAATATATGTAGAATTAGTTTTTTAGTTTTTTTTTTTTTTTTTTCAGAATGTTTAATAAGGATCAGCTGGTTGGTTAGCAAAAAAAAAATTAATTGTCCTACGCCGACTGAAATACTAAAGTGCAATAAATAATTTGGATCTATTAAGTCTGATTTTCCATCCTATTTCTTTTTTCATTTCATTATTCGCTATTAAAACTGCCCGTTTGCTATATATCCATCCATCTTTCCACCTGATGAAGTCTTTTCATGATGACACTTTAGGGAATACAGTCTAGCTCATCATACCATCTAGACAGTAGTTGACATTATATTTTATTTATTCTAGCATCGATAACGAATTTATTGGAAGTTTTAGGTCCAACATCGAGAAATAAGACAGTTTTATAAATGTGTTACATGCAACTTTCTCGTGTGATCTAATTTTTTATGGAGAAAAAGCCCATTTCTTTTCATGAAGCAATTTATTTACTTCATGTAAGACTCGTTAAAGTAATGTCATACATCTCAATGCTTGGCTATTAATATGATATTTCTGTGATAATAGCTTACTTATAGTTGCCCATTGAAACAATACTTTAAGTAAATTGCATAATTTTATTCGGTAAGTTATTAGCACTTCAAGATAACCAACTAGACTTTGCATAGTCAATTATTTTATTCATAAAATAGCTATTCTTTGCTTAGGAACTACTGTACTTAGCATTATGTAACAATGAGGTAAGATGACTGTTGTAATGTAATACCTATACCTGTGTACTTAACAAAAAGAACAACTGAACCTATTTCCTAAGGACAAATAGTTTCGGAGACTTGTAGCCAATTTTCCAACTTTTTAATACTGGTGGTAATTTGATGATGGAATTCGCAAGTCATATTAGAAATCAATTCTTACATATTAAATTTAAAATTTTCTAAGCATGACTGTTAACCAAAATTTTCAATAATTTAATTATAATGCGAAATTTTCAAAAGCAGAGAAGAAATAAATAGCTGTGATCTTCAATGTAAATAATAATACTAAAGAAGAGGAAGTGGAATAAGAGATGAAAAGTGATAGGGACTTAGTTCATTCTTAATAAAATGTTGATAAATTGGAAATATTGGAAAAGAAAAAAGAAAAAAGATTGTAAAAAAAAATCGAAAAACTACAATTTCAAAAATCTATTATGATGGCAAATGCTAAGTGTTATAATAGTAGTGGATTCTTATGTTTATATTATAAGAAAGTTTCTAGGAACGAAATGCGAATTATGCTTATATTCCTTTCTTTTTTTGTTCATACCAGTTTAATTGCCTTCTAACTTTTAACTTCCCGTAATAGCCTTATTATGCAGATAGCATTCTGTTAAAAGTTTATTGAATTGGAGAGTGTAGTCAATGTGTTAATAATAGAGAGACAAGAGAAAAATTAGAAAAAAAGTGAAACATAAGATTTCTGCTACCAAAATTGACTTCGTAAAGTTGAATGCCGGAATTGGATACCGAAATGATATGTAGTGCTTTAGATGAGTCTTTCCAGATATATTAGTACATTAATGATAAGTGATCTCTTCATTTTATAAGAAATTGTGAAAAAGTCTGTTAAAATTTCTAATCTTATCACATGCTTGACATTTTATTATTCGATTAATATGTTCATATTAGATAAGATTAGAGGAAATTTTATTTCCTTTAAAAGTGTAAGGGAGTTCATTCATATTAATTTTCTAAAAGTTCCTTGTTCTCGAGGTACTTTCAGTAAATATATATTTGTCTTCGAGATAACCTCATTCAGGAATTTTTAAAGAACATCAATATTTTTGTCTTATCACTCTGCGAGAACTTCTCTTTGTTTTTAATTATTCTTAAAATGATTTAATTTATTCTCTATTTCTTATGTGATTTTGAAAACATTTAGTATTCATGCAATCCAACATTACTCTTTGATTGCTTGAATGAAAATTCACTATGCAGATATTGTTCAGATATAATTTTAGTTCTTGTGAGCTGTAAGATAAAAATTAATGCTACCTTTTCTTCTATTTCTTCAAAATTTGATTACTAAATCAAAAATTTTTGTATCTTATCTTCGAGCAATTTTGAAAAATAAAAAATCGAAACAAGCATAGTTATAAACTCTTAGTTGTCATCTGTTCCTCTATGACATTTGAAGAGGCGGTCTTAAACAGGCATACGATATTCAGTATGTGCGATGATTGCAGTAAAGGTAATAATGATGTAAAGAAAAGTGAATTATATAAGCAGTTTTTTTTTTTTGTAATAGAGATTTCAAAAATTGGGAGTAAACTCACCCAGCCGCTCGTTTACTTGATTAGCTCTTAACATAAAAGTAATGAATACATTTTCTGCCTTTACATTCTCATCAAATCTATCCTCCATTAAAAGCCCAGAAAATGGCAATCAAGATATGTTTTGCCAAGCCATTTTTTCCTTCCATAATATCATTGTTTTGCTAAGCTTCCGATGCATGAAGCTATAGTTACTGAGCTACTCTTCACGTTGCAACTAAATATTTACGTGAACGGTATTCAATTTAAACAAATATATTTCTCTTCTAAGTAGCATTTACTAACCAACAGAAAAAAACTTGCAAATATTTCTTTCTTATAAATCTTCATTCAACCTATTTCCACACCAATACAATCAAACATAAATCTTTCTGCCATCGTTCGTTGCTTTTATTAGTAAATCGAAATTATGCTTTCTCCTGAATCCAATCTTAAATGCTTTTCACTGCCTTATATCTATTTTTTAACATTTTTATAGTTAATATATGCTTAGCTTGTGGTCATTAGCTATGACTAGTAGCTATGGTCAGAGAAGAGTATATGTATATATTAAAAATATATGTATATATTGATAGAAATTTGCATTTGTTAAAGAAATGAGACATTCTTATAGAATGTTTGTTGAAGGGTACATTCGTTATATATTGATGTATTAATTGAAAGATAATACTTTTGCTCTCGTCATCGTTAATTTCTACTTTTAATAGTAATGACTTGTTATTGCAATAAGCGAGCATATGCAAATATTACAAGCCTTGATGGATTCATTAGCCTTCTCGAGTTTATTGAATTTTTTCTTTTTTATTAGAACTTAAGTCTTATGCTTTTTTAATATTGCTAAGTTCAAGATTAAAACAAAAAAGATAACTATAAGGAGAAAAAAAAATCGGTGTTGTTTTTGGAATTTAAAATCCCTTGAGACCCTTCCTATGATAAATGGTCTATACTAAAAATGAAAAGTGGTATGATAATAAACTTATAACAGCTAGAAAAAAAATTCCTCATAATAGCTTTAAATATCTGGTCAATCTAAATTCCACGGCTTTTTTTTCTTTTTTTTTTTGGTTTTATTTTAATTTCATTTCTGTTACAAATCAAAAAATTATAAATATAAAGCAATAAGTATATCTCTTAGAATATTAACGATATTTAGAATGCTGAAGACAAGTCTTTTTTTAAAGGCTAACAATCTATGAGTCTCTTGTAAGTCAAAGATGAAAATTAATGAGAAGAAAAGACGGCAAATACTCTTACTCACAAAAGGGCGATGAGCAAAATTTATTTAACATGAAAGAATTCTGTTAATATTGTATTAACTTTAGTGGTTAGTTATTTAATTGCTGTTTTTTTAGGGGATGATATGAGAGCTATTATATGCAGATGAAAATGTTGCTATGTTAGGCTCACAATCATTGAGTTTTCTTCTGAATCGGGCAACAAAATCATTCCGTTCAAGTAATCGCCATGAAGTGACACTTGGAAATAATGACCATCAAAAAAAGGCATTATCCCATTATGCATTCTGGAACCAGCAAAAACAAACGTTACTTCGATCTCTAGATACCTTGTCCATATCGAATTTGCATGGCCAACGTTGCACCAAGTAAGTGATAAAAGTGGAAATTGAAAATGTTAATGTAATTAAAATGATGCTTATTTTTCAATTCAAATATGAATTTTGATCCTTATATTAAATTAACTAAAACTTTAAAACGACATCTTCAAACCATCACACTGCATTCTTTACACTTCATAGTATCCTTTAAAAAATACTTGGAAAAAATACTGACAAAGCTATTACAATCTTTAGGACCTTGATTTGATATTGAATCCTTGCTTAGACCCATTTGTGCTACAGGCAGCGTTATAATTAGATGAAAATAAAAGTTGGAAAATAATGAATTGGTCCTAAAGAAGACATCCGATACTAATAGAGATTGAAGCAGAGAGTAAAAAGTGCTTCTCTCGACTTTGGGAATAGAGATTGAAAAAAAGGATTGAAGTTGAAAAGTTCTGAATGCTTTTCCATTTGGAATGAACATTGAATTGGCAAGATAGTAGTAATAGTAGTAGTAATGCATGCCTAAAACAAAATATAACAAAAAATGTGCCTGGTGGGCTGGGCATAGAATCCAAGACAAGGTTGTAAACAAATCACTTAGTAATGCACTTAAGAATAAAATATTCAATTTCAACCTTTTAAGAAGTTCTCATACACTTTTATATTAACTCTTAAAGTTTGAACTGAGCTGTTGACTAATTTCATTCGTTTGATTTACTTTCATTCAGTTTCAAAATAATACATCGGTTCCTTAATAACACCGTTCTTAGTTTTAGTTTAGTCACTCCATTAAATTTCAGTTATCTCAATGTGATAACTTTAGGATTTGTGACTTAATTTTACAATTGAAATATTGATGAATTCAAGATGAAGAAGTAAACTGGGCGTACCGAGCTTCAGGACTAATTATTTCGTTATTGTGGTAGATTGTGGTGGATGCGATTGCTCGGCATTCATCCATAAGTTGCTCAAATCGACCGGTAGTAGCATGACGACGGGTAAGTCTTGCTGATACTTGACTTATTTAAAGGCACAAAGTTCACACATTGTGAACACCACATATATGTATTTAAACTCATAAATTATCATTAAGTGAATTTTAAGTGAGAAGTAAAATATACAGTTTTTCTCGTTTATACTTTCTTTTATTATTCGTGCAACTGCTAAAATTACACTAACTACTGATTCCCATCTGCAATATGTAATCAATTTGTTGTGCTAAATAAAAGATGCGACAAAGTGTCAAAAAAAGTTGAAATTGTTAGTAATTTGCAGATCGTCAAACCAACGTGATATCGTTCCGGATCGGCAGTTTAGTAAAACACATGACTTTGGCTGAAGTGAACTTTGAAAAAGTAAAAATTCAAAAGCTTTTTAAAAGCGAAATTTGGATTAATTATGGCACATAAGATATTTTGTAACAAGTAATGGCATGATCCGTTACGTTTCAGCTAATTACAATGGCTAATTTGCATGAATACATTTTTTTTTTTTAAATAGTGCTTATCTTATTATATTCATATAAAAGAATAATCATGAACTACGATGTACTAAGATAAGAAAAGAGATTCAAAATCTCATATTTCCTGATCACACAACAATCGATCGAGATATGGCTCATTAGTGATAAATTAGCGAATAAAATTTGAGTTTAACCAAACACTATCTTGTCATTTCCAAATTTCCAGTTAATGAATTACTAATGAAACAAAAATTAATCATAGAGAAATTTTTATCCTTCTTCATAAGTGCAAACCAAGCAAAGAGCATATTAATCATTCCTTAAAATAAGGTGTAAATGCCAGAATAGCTTGGAGAATTTAAAGAGCTTTTTTTCAAATTCTTTTCTGACTACATGCTATAGCAGTCACGAATTATTTATCATCCTTCATCAGAAAAAACGAATAAATTTGACGTATAGCTTTTCTTAATATAAAAATGAAAAATATTGAAGTTCTGAAACATTGCTCAAAAATATTATATTATTTTAACTTAAGTAAATGATAGTAAGCTTGAAATTTTTTGATTTTTAATTCCTTGTTAATCAAAATAAAAAAGAACAATAATTAGCGAAAGACTGATTAATGTCTGTTATTGATTTCATAAGTAATGATAAGTTATTACATCAATAAATAGTAACAAATTTATCTTCATAATTATTTTGGAAGGGTAAATTTAGATTGATATAAGAAAACCCACTGAGTAAGCTAAAGAGGATATTTCAAATTCTTATCTCCATTATCAATAACATCAAGATATTTACTGATAACTGCTTTCAAAATATTTACTGTTATCATAATTAACATAGAAATGAGTAAGAATTCTATTAAGAAAATGCAAAACTATATTAGATGACCATGGATTTCTAAGAATTTAATTGGCTGAAGATTTGGTAAATAACATTCTAGCATGATCTTTGGTCTACTTTGGATTTTGATGGATGTATTCTGCTTTATTCAACGAGAAACTCAAATTCATATAAATATGCAATGAAAAAACTTTGTAAGTATGAATTGCTTTCTTAGTAATTCTTCCGATCTTCCTTACAGCGAAAATGTAATGCTGAAAATTTGAGCTTTTTTCGCTTTTTTTGAGTGAAAATAGATTTTTCACTTGGAAATAGTTTGTAATTTCAGCGCAGTTGAGAGATCTGATGGAGAAATGTTTACTTTGGTTGATTGGTATCGCTTCTGATCCAGCTTCGCCATCAACTATACCAAGGATTACATCATATGAACGTAACTTTTCTAAAGTAATCTCTCGAGTGATCTAGAAAAAGAGTCATCTACGGTTTGATGACTCTGAAATTCTCACGTAAACGTGACAAACTGTGAGTGACAGGCTTAAATAGCCAGGATTGTCAGGTAGGAAACAATACAGAATAAGATCAAAACACAGATTGCAGGCCTTAAAATTTTTTGATTATATTTTTCCTTTCAGAAGCTAAAGCTGACTCCTTAAAAATGAATGCACGGTACTGGGAAGTGATACCGGACGGGAAAACACCGAGGAGTCCGTTAGTGTATCATAAGATCGTTACGGAACTCATATCTCTAATCGATAATTCAAACATTGACGCATTTCCTCCGGATAAAATCATTTTTGAATTCAATAAAGAATCCCAAGCTATACGGAAGGTATCGAAAAGTTGTGAATATATTTCATTCACATAAATCTCAAATACTTTTTATGTTACTTACCAATGACGTGTATCAAAATTGACAGGTTTGTACATCAAATTGTTCATTTTTTCCTGACTTAAACAAGCTTTACTACGAGCAAAATTAATTACATATTCAGTTATTACTTCAAAAAAGGAAGTAAATAGAAATACTTTTATGTTAGCGTTAGCATTTTAGAGTAAATTAAAATTAAAAAAAAAAAACCCTGAAAATGGTTTACAGTTGAAATTCTTCAACAGTTTAACTCTTTGGGCCATTTTAAGCCGAAAGGAAATTCAAAGTAGCAGCACTCCTTTCGCAATACATTCTTTTACTTTACACTTATATGTTATGTTTCTGAACTAATTTCTTTGGAAAAAAGGAAAAAAACTGAGAAAGGAAAACATTTTTTTGCGTTTTATCAATTTTTAGCAATTTTGACAAATAATTTATATATAAGTTTTCTTGCGCTATCTATTTCATCATTATTTTTGATTGAAAATTGCTTCTTTAATAAATATGTTACCGGAAATAAAAATATTTTGTAGCGACAACAAATTTGTTTTATCTTCTCAAATTTAACACCCGGAGATAATGGAACAAATTCACTGAGAAGAAAACAGCAACAATGAAGAAAAGAGAAAATTTTGTTTGGAAATAGTCTCTCCAAATATAATTCTTTTTGAAGCTTTTTTTACCATCAATTTCATGCTGCTATGAACAAATAAAATTAATTTAATCAATTCGAAAAAGGATTGTATACTATTCGAATATTTCCAATAATTCCATTCCTGACAATCAAGAAAGGAGCACTTTTTTCAGTGAGATCAAAAGTTACCAAAAGTTTTCTCTCCTCGTTAATTCACTGCTTTCTATAATAAATTTTTCTATTCACATTTCCACTTTACATATTTCAAAATTAGTTTCTTTCACCTCTATCATAATATAATTTAGTTTTTCTTATGATACAAGAAAGAGAATAATATGCGATTTGGGAAACAGTAGAAATTTCACTTTATGTTGAGCGGTATTCGTTAGCTATTTAAACTGTATTTAGGGAATGTAAGAATGACAGTGTACCATAAATTAGAAAATCGCTGAGTTGGAAAAAATTTACGGTATAAATTGCTTAGATGGAACCGAAATAACTGTAGCTTTACAATCAGTTTGTTAATTTTATTGTGAACTTTAATGAAGAAAGGATCTTTGAAGCGGAAATGAATTGATATGACTGTTCAATTTCACTTCGCCGTTTTATCACTCCATCATCCTGTCATAGAGTCTCATATTTTATCATTAAAATAGACTTCAAGAGATAATTACTTCTGACTTTAGCAGATCGATAGTGCAAGTTAATTCATAACACTTCAATGGTTACCCATCCTGAAAAACTGCTTATTGCTGCTGAAAAATCTGAACAACGTTTTAAAATATGCAGAAAACCGTTTTTTCCTTTCTTTGATTAGAACTATCTATGCATAATGGCGGATATTTCCTCAATGTCAAGTCTAACCAAGGATATAATAATAGGACGTAAATTGGATAAATGAAAAAGAAGGAAATGGAATTATAAAGTTTCTGCATTTCAGTTTCGTGCCAAGAAATCATCTTTTTATTGTGTAATTTACATATCAATTCAATGGGAGGTGATAAAATGAATAGTTCATCTGAACGCTTAACAAAATAATGTATTTAACTTCAGCTCAATTTTCATTGTGATAAAAAACCAAATATATCTCTACGCCAAAGATATATAACCGTTTGTGAAGATTGGAATTACGAAATTGGAGAAGGCTTAATTAAAGTTTCATTTTGTTTGCATAAGATTAACTCTATTCTTTTTGATTAAATATAACGCCATTTTTTTTAATTAAATGCTGTTACACATAAGTTTAATTAATTTTCTCAAAAAAAGAATGAGATCACATAGTTGAAAATGTCCTAATTTCCTTCCATAATTTATATTTCAGGTTTTTTGATAAGGATTTTAGACTAAACTTTATTAATTGATAAGTTGTCTCGCTATCATTTTTTGTCATTTATGAAACAAACTAAGTTAAAATGGAAAACCTTTAATTCAGCTGATCAAAGTCTCGGATGATATGAACTAATCGATAAAAAAGAAAACAAATTGTTTCTTAAAGTGCATTTAAGAAATGTTTAATCATTTCGCCTAAAAGTTTTTATCAAAAATAGAATGAATTTTTTATGCGATATTGTTGAAAAGTTGCAAACTGTTCTTTTACATTTCATTGTTGCCAACAAATATTATTATTCAGTTTTTCTGTTTTTTTTTTTTAAAAATCCATTTTAATGTAGTATGTAGTATTTCCTTTTTCCTTTTCCGTTTTTTTTTTTTTCTTTTTGTATATTTCCTGATTCAAGAAGTATTCTGACTCTTGTATAGTAACCTATCAGAAGAAAAAATTGTCAAAAAAAATTCTTTCACTTGAAGGGTCTATGCATCCATAAAACCTACTAAATTTGAAAAGTAATGTTCAGTAGTGATCTGGAAGTAATACTTGAAAGTAATGAATTTTGCTCCTTGTTGAAATTAATATATTGATGGGATTAACTTACCGCAATTCATTATTTACCGTTATAAAGACAATACAGCTATCAACAAAACTTGTGCCAACTATGTGTAATTTTATGAGAGCAAACATTGCTGGATGTCGACGTTATTTTGGATCAGTTATTTTCTTAAAAAGAAAGAACAAAAATGTACCATAGAGTAGGAGAAATTTTTGTCAAATATTCAATAGCTGTAATAGCTCTTCACTGATGTAAACAGGTAATTTAAATTTAATGAACCAACACTTTCGTTCTAAGTAAATTAACAATTGCCTTAAAATAATGAAAGTACACGTTATACATGCATAAACAAAAGTACATATATTTTACCTATGTAAACACACGAAATAAAATTGACCTATCCACTCAGAAAAACCAATAAATTATGTTTGTTTATTATCTTTGTGCTTGTATATTAATAAAGTGATAAAGACTGCAATATAATTCACTGCTATATAATAATAGAAAATTACTTTTTATTATACATTTACAACAAGCAAATCACTTTCATCAATTTCATGAAGTAATAGCAACGAATCGAAATTACGAATTCCTCGAGATTACAGTGAAACTAACCGTTGTATCACAAACTTTCTATAATGCACAGCATGACGATATAATCATAATTATATCAATGTTAGATGACATTTAGATGACATTTACTTTGTTGATTGTCATGCACTTTTGACTCAAAAAATTCGTCCCTGTTTCATGTTACATAGAAAATTCCCGACTGAATCAATCTATCCTGAACTGGAATGCATAAAAAAATTTAAGTTGGCAGAGATTAATTTGTTTAGATAAAAAGAAAAAAAAAAATTGAAAATATATCATTTTGAGCATATGGCTGTGAACAAAAATAAATTCAGACGCACCTGTTATGTTACACTAATTCTTCAAATTATTTTCTATTTACCCTTCCTCAAAAAAAAAAAAAAAAAAAAAAAAAAAAAACAATTAAAAAAAGACAGCTGAAACGAACTACATATTCTCATGTTTTATTAAATTTATCCCTCTCTCTCTCTCTCTCTCTCTCTCTCTCTCTCTCTCTTTACTCTTCTCAACTTCAAAACTTTGTTCTACCATTTATTAGAACGTTCCATTATTATCCTTAACTTCCAATGACAGTAAGTTATAATTTCTATTCACAAATATGAAATTTTATGAAGAATTTCTGCACCGCTCCCAAAAAAGCTGGATAGACCATATATGTAATGAATTACTTAAATCTGTAAATCATTTCGCGGTTTTTTTAATTAAAATGAAATAACTTGAAAATTTAAAAAGCAATACTGACAATACTTCAAGGAGACTGGAGAGGAGATAACTTTATTGCCGTATGATTATGATATTGGTGACGATGGTGGTGGAAAAGACACAGAGACTGGTGATGGTACTAGTAACGCGGGAAAACCTGCAAAAAATGCTTCAGAGGGACAGTTGTTAAGGGATGATCACACCCAAGAAGGAGGTGGTTTTGCAACTCACCTGTCTGATAAATCAGAAGCAACTAGAGGAGACACTGATAACGGTCAAGGAGAGCACGCAGAACTGCGTCAGCATGCCGAGCCACCGTCAGTAGATAAGCAAGCAGAGCGCGTAGAGCCGGAAGAGCCACGAAAACCCGAGAGGTTACCCATACATCCACATCCGGAATCGAACTTTCCACAACCAAATCTAGACCAGCCATCGCCAGTTCATCCTTATCAACCACAACCGCATTCAGAATTGCCAGAACCTTATCAGCCGCAACCACCGGCACCAGCATCAGTAGGACCTGAAGTATGTCAAATTATTGCTACCGGCATGAATACGGAAATGCAACAATATGCATCACTGCTTGCTAGTGAAGCTCTTACACAGTAAGTTTCATTTGAGAACAAACAGCTTGCATCAATCTCTTATCAAATTTATATTTGTTTAACAATACATTTGTACTGAAAGGTACTTAGGTTAAATGACTTCATTAAATTGAATATAATCGCATCCATTTATTCCCTCGTGCTGCAATTATCATATATTGGAGCAAAAATTACCTTTGTCAAATTAACGAGAAAGTTTTATCTTAGAATCTAGATAGATTGATCTATTAATCATTATAGTATCACTTCCAGCAATTTTGCAGATTTCCAAATCAGATGATGGCTATTGCGCGCCATATCATGATGAATTTTGAAGAGCGATATGGACCAGTGTGGTGTTGCGCTGTTAGTAATGGACAATTGGGATTTTACCTGCGTTATGACAGAGAGAATCATATTTACTTCACATTATCCAGACATACCATTTTTCTCTACAAAAGTGGTACTTCGTGAGTGAAATATGTGTAAATTGTAGGTAAAAGAGGACAAGCAGTATTGAGAATTGGTAAATGATAACGATAAAGAATGTCCTCAAAATTTTTGGAAATTTTTAGATGCTAGGATGTTTGACGGAATGTTGTGGTCTGTTTAAAAGTACTTATCAGTTGAAGTTTAAATTCTTATTATATTATCAATAATAGACAATGCTTTACTATTCTGATTGCACCTGCTGTACTTCCTCACAATTTTTTCGTATTTTTCTTCTAAAACATAAATTTTTGATCTAACTTTTTTAGTGTGAAACAAAACATTTAATGAATCATAAGGCTTCTCTTTGTTTTATTGGGTATTGAACATATTGAAAAATTAAAATTTTCTATAAACTTATAGAAATTGTTTTGTAATTTTGATTGATTGGGAGAATTTGAAAAAATGTTGTCCTTCTCTCTAACTTTATGATAATTATCATTTATTTATCAGTCAAAGCGATCAAATCTTATTTCTCTTAGATATCACTATGATTAACATCACGAATCTGTAACGCTTATTATCATTGCTATCAGTAATTGTCAATATCATTCAGACAAATGTATTTTACGTTTCCTACTATTGCTCCTTTTGAATTATCAACTCTGTTGCAATTATTACTGTTGCACTGCAACAATTGAACCTAAACGCTTATAACTTTTATAATTTGTTTTTCTCTTATTTTTTGTTTTTCTTCTTTAAATTCATTTCAGGACAAAACAATTTGAAATTTTTTCAGCTTAACTTACAATGTCAGCTGTTGAGTAAACTTGAAAATGTATAAAGTTTTCAAAAAAATTAAAGCTATTTTGGAGCAAATTTTTCTTCATTAATACAATTGTTTATTCATTTTCTTGCTTGAGACAATCTAACTTAATGAATTTGGCAGATGTTTTTGAGCGGGCAAAAACTTACAAATAATGCTAAAGTATTTTGAAGTATAACAAAGTTAACATCGGATGATTCATTCCCTTAAAGCACTCTTACGTTTTACATTTTCCCATAGCTCTCAAAACGTCTTCACTTTTCGAATTTCCTTAGTCTTATTTCAAAAATTTCAAATTTTTTCTTTTAAAACTCAGTATCAGACTTTATATTATGAATTATTTCTGAATATGTCCCATTATTCAGCTTTAGATAACTATCCATTTTGAACAAACACACTTTTATGTTAATAGCAAATTTCAATTTCGTCGCTCTTTTGTACGAATTTCTCGGAAGATTTTCAATTCCTAAAGAAACCGATTTTTCCAAAGTTTATTTAAGGCTTTGTCCAAAGCATAATGTCGGACCCTCAATCAATTGAAGACCCAAATCCAAATCCTGATATCGAAATCGGAAATGCTCAGATTATTGCATCAGGTATGGACACTGAAAAACAACAATACGCAATTCAGTGTGCCAATGAAGCTATTATGCAGTAAGTTCTTATTTCATACCATGGTAAAATGGCTAAATAAATAGATAAATGATGACAAAATAGGTGACAGTTCGTTTCCCTTTGAAGTTGCAAAGTTGAATATTTTACGATCTCAACAATATTTATTTATAAGCATGCATTTGTTGAAATTTGTTGTGTTTGCATGTCTTCACTTGAAGTATATTATCAACTAAGTGTACTTACTTATAATGCATAAAAGCAAATGTTTTCAAAAACTTACAAATTGCATAGGATTTATTATCTGTCGCAATTAGATTCTCTTTGCTTATTCCTCAAACTTTAGATCGATAATTGTTTATAATAATTTGACTTTTTGAAATCTCACTTCTCTTCATTAGCTTCTCTGATAAATTTGCTTTTTGGAAGATTACAAAATTTATATTATAAAATATAATTAAGAAATCGGTAATTTCTTTAGACATCCAAGTCAAAATATGGCAATGGCTCAGTATATAATGTCCCATTTCGAGGAGAGATATGGCTCAGCATGGCACTGTATCGTAAGTGATGGAAATTTGGGATTTTACGTACGATACGATCCTTCAAATCATATCTATTTCTTTATAGGATCAACTACTATATTTTTATTTAAAAATGAATGCTAATAATTTGAATTTCTTTTGCTTTTAAAACTTTAATTTCATTTTCATTTCAAATCAATACAACAGTTAATGAAGAAAAGAATGAGCCAATAAAAGTTGAGTTTCAATTTCAGTTTTACAACTATTTACAAAGTTGTAATACTAACATTTCTGACTATATATTTTCGCAAAGGTAAAACATAAATGCGTGGATGTAAAGTGTCCGATTCATTCCTACGCTCAATTTGTATCTCAGCTACCCAACGTTTTGTTACAGTATCATCCTAAAAAATAATCCTTCAATTTAGTTACTTTTTTTTTTACAAAAGAGTAAAAATGAAATAATTACTTAAGCATTTACTTATGTTTTCCAATACTAACAATTGTTTTTCAATACATTTTTCCAAATTTAAAAGACTTGCAGTTTTTAATTAAAAAGTCGTAAAACTAACGAAATTTTACTATCGCTGTTCAGAATCACAATAAAATACAATTCATATCTGCAGAAGAATTAACAAAATATAACTCACTTTAATGCTAGTAGTATTCGTCCAAGCGCTTTCCGATTTGACATTTTCCGCGTCATTGTCCAACAGAATTTCCAAACAGCCCGTATTATTTACACCTAAACGTGGAACGGAATGATAGATAAAAAAGTTTTGAAATTCCCAACGCATCTCTTTCAAGTTTTAAGCTACTAAATTTCTTCCAAAGGTGAACATTTTTTTTTGAATGAAAGAAATGAGATTTCGAAAAAACTCAGTATTTCTACCACCTGGAATATTTGAATTGTCGTTTGTTATGGGAAAAGAATTATAATTTCTGATTTGACGATACATTGGTTTCCACACCGGTGAACCGCACGTCATCATTTCTGGTGAAACAAAAACGCATATTTCCATAGTGATTCGTGGGAGAAAATAAAATTCAAGAAATCCAATAGCTTTCAAGAAGCTTACACTTTAAAGAACACTTCTCCAAAAAACAATCTGACAATATAAGAAAATCCACTGAAAATCCCAAGTTCGGTCATACAAAGAAGGTGAATAATGTATCAAAATGTCTTTGATTTGAGCAAATTTAAGCAATCTAAGGTAAGTAACTACAGTGATATCTCTTGCACAATGATTTCAAAAATTTGTTAGAATTTAAATTCAAAAATGCTTACTTTGTCTTGGTGAATTTTTTTTAAAAAATTGTGCAATGACAGGAGTGGAATTGGGTGATGTGTTTTGTGTTCGATCAGCGCTAGTCTTCAAGTATTTGTTAATCAGTTGTCGTTTAACTGTTTGCACTTTTATTCTGAATGATTTATATCACAATAGAGTGAAACTATTTTGAATTCAAAGATACAAGAAGGATCATAAACCAATGATTATAAAAATGAATGCAAATGAATTGTGATGCAAATGGAAGACGATGAAATTAATAAAATAAAACTAACAAGAAAACTTCCTTGTATTCTTTGTTGAAAGTGTAATAAATGAGACAATTGATAGATGAATTCAAAACTACTAGGAAATTGCTAGTGTCGGTGAGAAAATTGAGCAACAAAGTGCTTGGCTCAAAAAATGTTTCAATAACATTCACTATAAGTGCCTGGAATAAAAGAAGTTGCGCTGTTGACATCATAGACTTCTTCAGGGATGCTTACACAGCAACGATTGTATCATATCACTTAAGATCACTTTCATTCATTTGTTTGCTAACTTTTCTGATGAAATATAAAAGAATCGATCTACAAATCAATATCTTGAAATGATAGCACTGATCAATCAATCAGTTTATGTTCATTTATTTTCATATAATAAGATTTTTAAGAATTCTAGAAAATTTTTGTAGCAACAATCATATAGTTTCCAAAAATTTTCGGTCAATAAATTATTGATTATTTAATGTAGATTGAAAGAACAAATTATTTAATGATTTAACTAGATTTTAAGTTTCCATGAAATAGGTAATATTATGAACCCATATTATGAACGGCTTTCTGTGCAAACATTTAGGGTTGTAATGGATTCAGAGCAAATAACTAAATTGCAAAATTTCAAATTAATACTCAGAGCGACAAAAATTGATGAGGTCTTACCAAAATATTGCAGCATAAGAATAAAATAACCACCATAACCATTGTTACACTATCATCGGATCCGATTGCTCCATTGCGATCGGTCGGTTGAAGCATTGTATCCGTTATATGACCCAAAGAAGCTGAACGTAAAATGTGGACGAATACGGAAATTTTGAGTCTTTTCATGAATTCAAATGCAGTCATAAAAATTCACCTGTCATAGCAATTCGGGAAGCATTGTCTTTGACAAAACCCATTGAATTTGATCGCGATATGCTGTAAATTTCAATTCTAAACATATTATGCCAAACAGGAAAAGTATACTTAAGAAAACAATTAAATATGAATTTAGAATGCTGTAGCAGTTCATGAAAAATTAATAACTGAGCAAAGGTATGTAAGATATGTGTCAATTGATAAATAAATAGATTAATATCATTAGTTGCAGTGTCTAGCATATTGGGCAGTTTCAGATATGTTAGCATAAACGAAAAATGATAGTTTAAAAGCTACCTGACAAATCTCTTAACTAAGTGTACCGTTATAAAAACTAAGAGATATTAAAAGTTTTCAAAATTTCACTAATAAAAGATTGATTATTAATTTCTTTCATTTGACAAAGATATCTAAAAACTATCAAAGAAAGAAAACTTACGAGGATTGTTGTACAACAATGATAGCATTTAAAATGGATAGAAATAGAAAAGGAAGTAAAGTCATCAGCACCATGTACATATATACATTATATATCGTATTGATTGCAAAGAATAAAGAGGTCGGACAAATTTCGACTATTATTTCCTGAAATGTTAGTAAATTTAACTGAGTAATTCTTCTTTAGAAACAGTGGCATTTTTTAAGTAATTTAACTTTTGCTTTTAGGACACATAGATTTGTCCTTTCTAACATCAAGCATGTATAACCTTTTCTATGAGACCTGACATTATTTTATAAACACATCCATTTAATGCTTTAACTTCTGATTCTTCTGTTATTAATTTTAATAGTAGCACCCCATTTTCTTTAAAAATTGTCTTATAAAAACAATAATATTTAGATTGCATCAATTCTAATTATTGTATGATATTTGTCAATTGAAATTTATTCTTTCTTCTCAATATTCTGAACTTGAAAACGAGTTTTATTCAGCATATGAATTTAATCACAATGGGTATGTTAAATATTTAAACGGCGAACAATCTTTTAGTAATAATTAATTGTATGATTGGACGAATTTGGGGGAGGTAACAATAAGATAAATGCAAAAACATTCGCAAATTAGATGAATTAAACAAAAATGTATCATAAATATTTTCGAATCTCTAAGCACATAGCATATGACATTTACACAGACAGATGTTGCTATGATATTAAAAGAAAAAAATTTTGCAAATGGTACGAAACTGGGCACGAAACTGCTAACTTTTATTAAAAATATTAAAGAAGAATTGTGAAAATGGAATTTCAAAAGAATAAAAATTTTCAAGTCAAAAGACGCACATGTTGAAAGTTAGTTATTTTAAAATTTTGTTACTGAATTTTGCTACTTAAATTGTGTTATTTCAAAACTTACTAGGGGCAAAATTATCATCAAGACTAATATGCTTAATACACCCAATGAGGAGATGAATGTCATTGGGTCATTGGTCAACTAATACATAGCGGTAGTCTTTGCTTTCCTTGAACTAGTAAGACCCTTGCAACTTTCAAGTAAAGTGATAATTTGTGATATGAAAATAATTAAAAAATGACCTTTGAACTACCATGCAAGCATTTCCTCAAGTTGAACTGTGGGAAACGTAATGAGTTATAGATGATGGAGCACACAGTTATACACGTGTTTATTTCACAAGCACGTCGAATTGTACAATAGCTTGCACTTACTGTTTTCCAACATACCTTAAAAATTGAGTATGATATGCATTTTGAATTTCGAAGTGAATTCCGTTAACAGCAATGTTTTGTAATAAGTCATTATAAAAGTTGTGGATGTGTTTCTCGTGTCTCGCATTAATAAATAAATTCACATCTTGCATTGCTATCAAACTAACGTTGATATAACAATCGACAGCAGCTGCAACAGTGAAATATACGCTGCAGGTTTGTGCCATGTATCCGAAGGGTAATGCATAGACAGTTGTATAAGGTGCACGCGATAATTCCGGAATATAAGTCCTGAACAGTAAGATGTACGCTGTGTGAAGACGGAATCATTGAACTAGAAATTAAATTGCTATATGTAAATTAAATTCTACAGCAGATTCGCTAGTGATCTGAGATGCCGTTATTAAGCCATAAATATATATATTTGAGTTGAAAATTTGCTTCCTTTTAGTTTTTCATTGGTTATATCAGCAGGTCTGGAAAAGATGAACTAACCTAGCGGAATCGATCCAGAAAATAAAAAGACCCGTTATAACAACTAAAAAATCACTGGAAGAAAGAAATAACAAATAGGTGTTGGATGAACTGCGCATCCTGCAAACAACTTTTATTATAATTCATTCAAGTTTCAGTTATGAGACTAAAATTTAACTTATTTTCATTGTCAGATTTGACCAACCTTTCTCGAGAATAAACAAAAATATTGACAATATTTGATAGAACACCAAAAGCCGAAATTGATGGTAACAAAATAATGACTGCTATATAGTTAAACCTGAAACTTGCTGAGGTTGAGGTCAATTATGTTAAAGTCTTTAATTCTATTTTCATTATTTCCTAATGATTTAGGCGAGTATTGGTGGAGGATTTCTATATATCGAAGAAAAATAATGGGAAATAAGGCAAAGTTAGATTAATAGACAGAGACAGAACTGAAAGAAATTGTTTGGCTAATTTCAACAAATTTATTGAATTAAAGGATGAAAGATACACATACCATTCATATGCCGGCGAGTAATCACTGTGCTGCAAATCGGAACAAATACATTTGGTATCATTTGAATCCGATCCGAAAATCATTTTGCTGGAATTTTCCTTAAAATTTTAAAGCAAGCAGTGCCAACGTTTGTCATAAATGAAATCATTTCGGTTGTTGAGTTCAGGTGGGAGGGAAATTTTTAAATGAATTGAAGAGGTGAGTATGAGAAGGGAAGATGAGGAATTAGTATTACTTACTTTAAATAAAGTCTGAAAAGAGTAAACAGGCAGTGAAGGGGAATAAAAGAGTGGATGGCTGATAGGATGTAGTCATGTTTGACGAGAGAAAAGGGCAAAAACGATGAGAGGAAATGAAATTATGATGGTAGGTTAATTAAGGAAGACTGATAAGTGAAAAGTAAACGAGAGAGCTAACATTTCTTTTTTTTTTAATTTCCTCTTAGGGTCATCAACATAAGTCAATTTGAATTGCATTTGAAAGAATGAATTTTATTGAATCTAATTAAGTTAATTCTGTTCATTAAACTGTTACATTTGTGGATAAGCATCAACGCAAGGCATGTCAGCTATTTCCGATGGAAAATGAGTCTTGCTTGTAGCTAAGTAAGATTGAACTCTTCTTTTTCTTATCTTAAATGTTATTCTCAGATGAAGGATTCTCGAAGAAAGTAATTCAAATGAGACTATTCGAAAAAAAATGATGGAAATCAATTATGAATTTAATAAAAATGAAAAAAAAAAATTCAGCTTTTAAACCGAAAGGATAAGTAATAAATAAAAAATGAAGTTAAAAAGAAAAACTGACAAAAAATAAACCAAAAGTAAGTCACTATAAGTGTGACGTCAGCAATCTCGGGAAAAAATAATCTGCTAATGACAGGACGTTTCTCTTTTCTTTCCGTCATCTTAAATAAATTACTTTAGAAATCGAAAATTCCATATTTAGAGTTAATAAAAAATTCTTTTGTTTTGATTTGTTTTCAAATCCCAAAACAGTCTCACTAAAACGTCACATTCATCCGATTAAAGATATGTGCACAACAATTTTACAGGGAAATTCTCTAATTTAAGTTCATCGTAGTCAAAAGTTCCGTCATTTGTGTTTTTTAGTCTCATTTCATGTCAACGCAGAAACTGAGTGATGACATTTACAACTAAAATATTTGATTGAATGATTTTTAAGGTCATTATTCAAATGTGTTCACAATTATGAGCTTAGAGCAAAAAAAAAATGTTAGAAAATAAAATATTATGATAAGATGAGCAATCGTAATCGATCTGTTTGAAAAAGGACTGAGTGACAGGTTGATAGACAGGTAGCACTTAGTGAATTTTTAATTTTCACAGCGACTAGTCGACTTCATGACGCTTGGCTTGCTTGTACATTAATTTTTAAACAGCAAAAAAAATTGAAAAAGCTGAAAAATAGGCCATATTACATTCATCTTCATTACATCATATTTCTTTTACGTAGTGTGAAAATGAAGCAAAAGAAGAAATGAAAGGTTCTTTTTTTTTTTCATCACGCATTTTACCATTTGCGCTTCATTATGAGGCTCTGTTGTCTACTCGCTAATTTGTTTTCATTCTTATTTTGTATGCCATCTTCTTTTTTTCTTATCTGTGAAAATACTTGAAAAATATTTTGGTAGAAAGGATATTCTTCTGGAAAAAATTTTAGACGTCGGTGTCACTTATTTTATATGCAGAAATTAACTATAAAATTATATTTTTCTACTCTCTTGCCTTTTTAGCTATCTTCATGCTCCTTATCTGTGATTATTAATAAAAGTTTAAAGGATCTGCTGCTACCAATCGGAAAACAACAAAAATTTCATTGAAGAAAAGAAAAAGAATGATCTTCCCAAACTTCACTTTAATTACCTTGCGACATCTTTTTCTTCATAACTTTCAATAAATAATAAAAATAAAATGATAGAATAGAAAAGCAGACATTAGTTTCCAAAATAATCATGGTTGTTTAATTAGATAACTTGAAAATTTTTGAGAATTATAGAAGAGCTAATTACTGGTAAAGCAACTGTAGGATAACTGTTGGATAACAGATGGATGGCATTATCAGCTTTTTTTTTAGAAGGATCGACCGACTTTCTAATCATAAAAACGTACCAATTTAAACAATTGAGCAACTCTTATTGGAAAAGAGCCAAGAAATAAAAATATTTTATGAAAAATGAATATGTTCTGATCATTTGTGATAATTAATTAATTGGATGCATGGTGTCAACCACATCCTCGTGCTTGATTTGACAGATAATTAAGTTCTGCATTTGTAGAGTAATGCTTACTGAGTTCAAAATAATTTTTTAAGTCATAAACAAAACAGAACAAGGTATGGACTGTTCGATGAATAAGGAGAGAAAAATTATTTCCTGAGCAGTCATTTCATGCTAGCTTTCAAATTCTTAATTATTACGTTAGCAAGCATAAAATTGTTCTTTCCAGGAAATTTCATGTATTTTTTATTTTCCGTTATGAGCTACAACTTAATCTAAGACACAAATTGAGTGATTAAATAGTTACTTCCGAGGGAGTAAAATTTTCCTGAATTCATTTCCGGAAATATTTTTTCATTCCATTGTATTTACCACATATCAGCAAAAGTAGTGGAGTTTCCTTTTCCTTGCTCATAAAAATTGATTTATTTTTAATTCAATCTTAACTGAATCCCAAGAGATTCTGTAATTTGTAAGCTTTGAAGTTTTTGAAAAGCACACTTTGTCGTAAAACCGATTTAGGATGAGTAATACTTCATCAATTCTATAGATATAAATTCTTTTCTTCCAGTAAATTCAGAAAGATGTAGTAGATTCTTTTGAGAGAAGAAAATAGTGAGGAAAGGAAACGAAATTTAGGATATTTTCACTGAAGGATACCACAAAGATTACTATGAAATAACAGCATATAACAAGCAGACAGAGTTTTGATTAAAATCAGCTATAGAAGCATTCATATGTGTTAGCATTGCCAAATGCGCCTGCAATCGATTGCTGCCGCAAATGTCCAGGAATCCTTAACCATTATGGAGTAAATGAGAAGAAATATTTACAATAAATAACTGTCTCAAAATCGATTAACTCAGTATTAAAAATTAGCATCATCCCGCGATAAGAATTATTACTTGTGATGAGCTGTTCAATTAGTGCTTAAAGTCACAGCTAACCTATGACCTTCAGAGCACAAAAATGCTAAATTATTGAACCTAATTCATTATTTTGACCTCTGACAATTTATCAGCATTTAATAAAATTTTTTCAGCTAACAAACATTCTGAAATGATTTTTGTCTATTATTCATTTCTGGTATATAAAAGATCTTGTGGACTTTCAAAAAAAGCATGAGTCAAAAGTATTATATTGCTCGGATATTTCAATGATACACTAACAACATAATCAATTATTAATTTGTTTGATGAAGATCAATAGAGAATGAATCCAAAAGAAACAAAAAATTAAGTGGAAGAAAGCTGTTGGTGATAATTACTGATATCAGTGCAGGCGAGAATTAAGCATGAAGCAAGATAATATGCATTATTAAATTAGAAAATGTTTTATGGCTTAGAACACTTCTAACAAAAGCACTGTTAGTTAAAGCTCATTACGATTATTTCATTTCAAGCTTTAAAAATTTTTCATTCTTGAAAATCTTTCATTTCACGTTTTTGAAGTTTGTAGATAATTGTTAACTAATAAGGAAATACTATATTTTCCTTATTAGTTCTGTTTTCTGAAAAACTATAAAATAGTATAAGCTTTTAGAGGACAACAGTTCAGAATTCCAGCAAACGACTTCAATTTTTTTAATTCATCAGATTTTCCGAGAAGATTTGATGGAATTCTCGAGTAACTGTAAAATGTAATAACAACAATCCTAATTTGAAAACTTATGACTTTAAAAACTCCATCAAAAAAAAAAAAACAAAGTATCGCTATGCCGCTTACAGTTTGAGAAAGAAAGAAATCATAATTTAAGCAAGCAGAAACCATATTAGCTTTATAAAATTTATGAATTCATCTGGTATAAAATTCAAAAAATGGGAAGAATCCTGAAGATTATTAGAAACCAATCATAATTATGCAAAAAAATTCACTTCCGTTCTATGCATGCAAATCACTTTTCTGTTAAGAGCAGTAAAATTAGAAAGTTCCAAATAATTTCAAAAAATCTTTCATTCAATTCTAAATTTGAATTTCATATTGCATTTCTTCTTTTCAATTTTAACAGATTTATGGTCTTATATTTTCTTCTTTTGCTAAAGTGTGAATTCCGGAATAACTTAAAATCTATAAAATTTATCTTAATCCTTACCTTTTATATGCTATGTTTACTACTAATTGTTTATTCAGAATTTTACTATAATTAAATGTAAACAAATTGTTTATCACCAGTTCTTCATAATTAAATTTTACCTTTTCCTATCCCTTAAAATCTGCTTAGGAGGAAATACTAATAATGAGTTTCAAAGAGTTCTTCAAAGTTGTGCTTGAAGAACAGAACTATCTTTTATCAAATTTCCTCGACACAATAGTTCATCCATCTATTGTGTTGAGGAAATTTGATAAAGTTGGAAAATTTTTTGAGAGCTACTGAAAAAAAGAAGACATTTCAATAATATTTTTCAACAAAAAAGAAAGATTTTTTTTAGCAAATTCATTTGAACAATATGCGATTTTTTAGAAAAAAGAGAGTGAAATTTGATAAAATTTTATTAAATTTAGCAATAACAGTGTTTTAATTTGAAAATTTTGGATAATAATGAACAATTATAACGCATTTCTTTTTCTACTGAAAGCCATTGTACCGAACATTTTTATATTATTAGAAGGAATGTGTTTACGGTATAGTTTGAAAGAATTGTTAATATTTTACTGGTTGCTTGCACTACTATTTGACAAATTTACAAATAAATTCGAATAATTAATTTTTAAAGCGATCAATTTCAATTTCAGCTGGAAAAATCGATTTTTATAGATCGATTTTTATCACTCTCTTTGTAATGTGATAAAAATTCAATCAATAACTGTTCTTTTTTATAACAAACAAATGGAAATATCTTGAAT